TATAAGCTGTAGAAGTAAAATGTATGACAATAATAGCATAAAGTCTGGAAGAGCAGAAATTAAAATATACTTGTGCTAGGCAGAATAATTCCTCTCTACCAAAAAGATACCAGGTCCTAATCCCTAGAACCTGTAAATGTTACTTTATGAGGAAAAGGGTCTTGAGATGGGGAGATTATCCTGGATTATCAGGGTGGGCCCTAAATGCAATCATATGGATCCTTAAGAAGTGGAGGCAGAGGAGATTTACACACCAGAGAAGGCCATGTGAAGATGGAACAGAGATTTGAAGGTGCTGGCTTTGAAGATTGGAGTGATGTGGCCACAAGCCACTGAACGAGGCAGCCACCAAAGCTGGAAGAGGCAAGGAACGATTCTGGAGCCTCCGGAGGAGGGAATGTGGTGCTGCCAGTACCTTGGTTTTGGCTCAATGGTACTGATTTTGGACTCTGGCCTCCAAAATGGTGGAATAATAAATATCTGTTGTTATTATTTAAAAATAATTTTTTTTTGAGACAGAGTTTCGCTCTGTTGCCCTGGCTAGAGTGCCATGGCGTCATGGCTCACAGCAACCTCAAACTTCTGGGCTCAAACGATCCTTCTGCCCTCAGCCTTCTGAGTAGCTGGGACTACAGGTGTGCACCATGATGCCCAGCTCATTTTTCTATTTTAGTAGAGATGGGGTCTTGCTCTTGCTCAAGCTCATCTTGCTCAAGCTCTGAGCTCAAGCAATCCTCCCACCTCAGCCTCCCAGTGCTAGGATTACAGGTGTGAGCTACCACACCCAGCCAATTTCTGTTTTAAACAACCCAGTTTGTAGCAATTTGTTACAGGAGCCACAAGAAAGTAATACAATACTGTCATTAGTTTCTTATGCTCTGTCTGAAGTGGTATAATATCACTAAGGTAGATTGGGATACAGATATAGACTATAATCAATAAAGCAACAGCTAAAGGCACAAGGAGTTATAGCTAATGCACCAAAAAAGGAAATAAAATGGAATTATAAAAATACCCAATCTAAAAGAAGCCAGAAGTAGGGGGAAAGTCAAATGAAGAGCATATGGGACAAAAGAGAAAGGAAGGGCCTAATGGCAGATTTAAACTTAGGTATGTCAAGAGCAGCATTCGATGTAAAAGGCAGGGAGTTTTCATATTGAATGGAAAAGTAAGACCTGGTATATGCTGCCCACAAGAAATTCATTTTAAATATAAAGAGGCAAAAATAGGTTAAAAGAAAAAGAATGGAAGAAGGTTCATGCCAACAAGAGTTAGATGAAAGCTAGACTGGCTGTATAAATACAGAGAAAGTGGATTTCAGCGCAAAGGCTATTACCAGGGATAAGAAGATCATTTCATAACGATGAAGGAGATCAGCTCCTCAGGTGGGCATAGCATCCTTAAATATTTATGCACCTGACTTCAGAGCTTCTAAAATACACGAAGTAAAATCTGACAGAACTTCAAGTAGAAAGAGATAGTTATAGTCCAAGATTTCAAAAGACCCTCTCAATGATTTGTAGAACACATATGCGTAATATCTGGATCTAGCAGTCGAACAATGCTATCCACCAGTGTGATCTGATTGACATTTATGGAACACTCCACCCAGCACCATCAGAAGACACACTCTTCTTAAGTGCTCAGAGAATGTCTGCCAAGGTAGATCAGATGCTGGTCCATAAAACAAGTTTCTAAAAAGATTCAAATCATATGAAGTATGTTTTCTGATCTCAATATCTTTTTTTTTTTTTGGAGACAGAGTCTCTCATTCTGTCACCCGTCTAGAGTGCAGCAGTGTCATCATAATTCATTGCAACCTCAAACTCCTGGGCTCAAGCAATCCTCCTGTCTCAGCCTCCCAAGTAGCTAGGACTACAGGTGTGCACCACGACGCTGCCCAGCTCATTTTTCTATTTTTAGTAGAGACGGGGTATTGCTCTTGCTCAGGCTGGTCTTGAACTGCTGAGCTCAAGTAATCCTCCCACCTTGGCCTCCCAGAATGCTA